CAACATTTGCAAGTTACAGTATTTATTATAAAAAATCGTAAAATTCTATGTACAACCATCAAAATCATTTTTGAACAAGCTTTGAATGAGGAAAGAATAATACATACACTAAAAATAACTTAATCTAAATATATGAACCTAAAATTAACAAAAATACTACAGTATAAACTCAATGTTTTAATAATTACATTTGTCCTGGCGTTTGGCATCTTTTTTGTGTCACCAGCATACTAAGGCCAGTCTGAAATGATTTTATAGTACCAACTCTAACTAACGAGGCCACATGATCATGGGTTTATCTGGATCTTTACGAATGTTTAATTAATTCCAGTAATGCAAAAAAGTTACTTTTATCATTTCATGTATAGATCAGTAAAAAAACAAATGACAGATTTTTTCGATAAGACATTTCGCACTACATTGCGTGGCATAGGATTGCTTGAATTATTATTGATATTGATTTTTAGTAACTAAGTCGTTGTATAATTATATTAATATACAAACACATGGAAATTTTCTGTTCGAAGTTGGTCTTCGAATTTGTCATATTGACTGCTGAGCTTATTGTGTTTTTTGATTGTATTGATGGAAATATGACAAATTAAACAATGTGCTTCAGAATTTTGTGAAGAGCAGAAATGTTACAACTCCCATTTTCTTCGAAAATGCCACCTTCTTCATGTACTTTGCGTTTAATTTAATTACTCAACTGTTTTATTCAAGTATTCTTTTGCTAGCTTGATGTGTATTCTTAATTGGGTCAAAATGTGGACAAAAAAAATTAATATTCCAAAACTACTCTCAGTAAATTGTTTTCTGTGTGAATAATCAATTTCACTTTAGAAGGTTTGAAAAATCTATTACATTTAGATAAAAAAAAAACTTCCAAAATACTATTACAATTATTGTTAAGCGTTCGAGGGCCGCACTGGAAGTGCTCTGGGGCCGCGAGTTTGAGATTCCTGGTCTAGATTGAAGTTGTTCAAAAAATATATGATAGTATTTTATCATGAATGATGATTATACCCCTTCCGGAATTTCTTCTATAGTACTACCAAAAGTTGATGAACCAAATATAACACAGGTGCAGTGAGGTACCCGTAATCCTCATTTCCAAAGCTGTTTTAAGTATGTCTGGCGTGTTTTGTGCCCTTTTACAAATAAGACCGCTTATGCAATCTTACGCTTTGGAATTTTTAGTTATTTTCCTCAAGCCCTGCAGGATGTGTGGGCCATACACAACTCTACCGGAGGGTCAAATGCCTTTGCATGCCTCCATAGGTTGTTTTTCTATTGCAAATTTCTATTTTCAATTGCATTATATTTCTTGGAATCACACTGTCACTGATATGTCGCCAGACTTCTGATATCTCCCCGTCTGCTATAGTTGTCCTGTGAACAAATAATAGGAAATTGAGATTAGACGAATAGTTGAAAGTTTTGCTTTATGTCGGCTTAATTTCTTGATTGATATACTTACTATTTCTGCTATTGCCTCTTGTGCTGCAAGAGTCTCACAATGCTTAGACAGGTTTGTCCACAACTTTCACATCTGAAGAAAGAGAGGAGATTTATTAATTTTCGTTAAGAATAAATAAAGCAGTCTATATGATTCAGAATGGAAAAGCTAATAAATCCAATATATCATGTTTTATGTAAAAAATATTTTACTGAATTTGGTATATAAACCAACTAATAAAAGGATTTAGTCAGAAAATTACAAGCATTCGTGGCTCCAAATACTTGAGAAATCAGACTATACAATATAGACCGGTATGAGTGAAATGTTAGGTGAACTTGTTAACACTTTGATTCAATACGCAAATAAAAGTGAATGCGTAATAGTATGTTACAATGAGCAGCAATCAACAATGAGTATATATCCTCACTGATTAAAAAAATCTAACTGGAGGTGCATGAACTATTTGAAACCATAAGGGGTAAGTAAATATGTAATTTCGGCAAATGGGCAACTACGTACCGTACTGAATTAATAACTTCGTAGTATTTGACAAAGGCTGGCTTTCCCACATGTACTTAACAGTGCGATGCCCGGGTGTGATATACAACAATAGTATTCACCTTACCTTTTACCGATTTCTTTTTACCCCAACTTTCAAAAATATCATTAAAATCGACAACAACTGTCAAAGCAGGCACGAACACCATTCGTGCTACGCCTTGAAAGCAGCACACATCCGCTCGTTTTCGTCTCGTCAAGTATGTGCATTGGAGCGTGCTTTCGATACGATCTTCGGACAAAAATGCCGGAGTTGCGCATCATGTTGTTTAATGTCATTGCACAGACTGTCTACACTAGCCATATTCTCCCGACATGGTTCATTTTTCGCTCGCAAAGCCTTCGCCGAACGTCGACGGGGCGACGCCGATTTTGCCCCGGTTGCTCATTGTATATCGTATTCTCTCTTTTATCTTCCACTCGCCGCGTTTGTCTCGTTTATTTTCTGTTTTTTTTACTGAATTATCGGGGCCGATCGGGGGCTAGCCCCGAAATTATGACGACACAATGCCGACGTTTCTTACAACAACGTGTTGACATATTCACGCATTCCTTCTCGTTCGTAGGTTGCTTGAAGAGTTGATAGTTTCCTCGCTTTCGTCGCTTGTTTCGCTATTTGAATCAGTTAGAGACCTTTAGTTCATTTGCTTTCGATTTTCCACATTCCTTTTGAGCTCCTCACTTCTTTCCGGCTTCGCATTTCTTAGCCTTAGACCTCATAATGAATAAGGTTGATGCACTACTTCGCACTCCGTTTTCGCAGCTGCCGCTGGAACAAAAATTAGAGGTACAACGTCTTGGGCCTTATCAACCAAAAAATTGTTCACTGGAACAATCCCATGACGGAGGAAAGCGTCGGCGTACATTCTGCGCAGAAACATGGTATAAAAAACACGAATGGTTGTGTTACAGCGAGGACAAAAATGCACTTTTTTGTTTTTATTGCCTACTTTTTGCTACCGCCCGTGACTCACGTTGGTGTAAATTTGGTTTTAGAGATCTTAAACATCTTTCCGAGCGTGCCAGAGATCATCAATCTTCTATGGAGCATCTGGACAATGCAGTAAAATACCGAACATTCGGAAATGTTAATATTGCAGCACAGTTGGATGAAGGACGCGCGGTTTCTATTCGTCGGCACAACCAAAACGTTGAGAAAAACCGCCATGTTCTCGGTCAATTGATAGATGTTTTGAAGTTCATTGGTTGTCACGAGCTGTCCCTCCGTGGGCACGATGAACGGGCTGGCTCTTCTAATAGAGGGGTATTTTTGGATATGGTGGAATACACCGCATCCGCATCCCTAGATACAGTATTGAGAGATCATCTTGATGCCGCAACTGTTTCGAAAGGGACATCTAAGGATATCCAAAATGATTTGCTCGACTCAATGTATAAAATTTATTTACAACATTTGGCTCTGGAAATTGAGAATTGCCAGTTCCTTTCGATTCAGTCTGACGAGACAACTGACATCACGTGCGTTTCCCAACTGCAGAACTGGCTGTGATTTTTCGGTTTGTGGAAGATGGTAAACCTACCGAGAGATTTCACAGCTTTGTACCAATCGATGATCGCACGGCTTGCGGGATATCGGCTGTACTGAAAGAAGTGTTACAGCCTTACAACGCGAAGTCAACATTGATAGCTCAAACTTATGACGGCGCGGCAGTCATGAGTGGGTCGAAACATGGTGTTCAAGTTTATATAAAAGAAGATTTTCCTCGTGCGCATTTTTTACATTGTTATGCACACCAATTTAACCTCGTTATTAAAAATATGTATTGCCTTTCCTTTTGAAAGAGGTTTTAAAAAAAACTATGTCTATATTTATTAATCCCTTGACTTGGACCGGTTTTGAAGACACTTTCTTATCGTTAAAAATTGTCGCTTTTGCCGATTGGTTGTTACCGATGGAATGGTTTTTATACTCATAAAATGATGGGAGAACTTACAGCGCTCATCCTGTCCCCGTAGATGGGGGTGACTTGGTCCCGCAGTAGCTTGCCCCGGTTGTCAAAATGACCACGCGCCGCCACTGTATTGTAGAATATATATTTAAAATCATTTCGTCACGCCAATCGCAGTCCGAAACCTTTTGTCTCTGGCTGAGCTTAGATACCAATTGGCACATGTAAACTGGTAAGAGACGCGCGACGGAGCAGATAATAGAGCAGAGTATCCATCCCCCAGCTGTCATTTGAGTGGGTACTGCTGTTTTTAATGCAGATGATACTGATCTTTTTGTATTAAAGATTTACTGGCATCACCGATTTAAGGATGTCAAGTGATGGATATAAATGAGTGAAATGGTTTGAATGAATGAAAAAGCTGAGTATTCTTTAGAACAGCATACAAATTCTATGGAATGAAATCGTACACAAAAGCTTGTCAAAAACCTATAGCTCAATAAACAAGTGGAATTTGATGCATGTGCGCAAAAATGTGCGCGTTACTCTACAACTGAAGCACGCAGGAAAATGTGTGTGATGTACTTGTGATCAAAATGTTTGACTCAACTATGTTGGCATACCAGGTGCACATTTCGGTTTTGCAAACGCATACCTTCTATCTTCACATGGATATATTAAGGCCAAAGTCAATGCTGCACCTGAAAGGTTCTGGTTCCTCCAAAAGTAAAAAACGTTGGATCCTGAAAAGCAAAAATAATTGCGATATTGTGTCAAAACAGCTGTTAAACAAAGAACACATATTACGCCACACTGCAAAAGTGTTGATTACCGATGGTTAATCGTGTTGCGCAATCTGTGACGTCAGTCCCGTTTCTTTTTAGCCTTACCTCGTAAACTAATCTATGACAAAAATTTAAGAAAAGTGAGCATAAATCTGAAGCGTTGGAAGAAGTCTTCAGTTTACTTATTTCATGTGTCCTACAGAACATTTCTATCATTCTTCTTGGTTTATACTGGTTTGTCTTCAGTACTTTTTTATCTCTATTATTCTTACAGTCATAACTGGATCATTAAATTCTTTAGTTTACAGCATTTGACTAATTACAGATTATAAATGTTGATAATGTATATATATTATAGAATTACCATAAAACAAAAATTCTGCTGCCATTGACTGATTTATTAAATGTATCAAAATGTGGTCACATCATCAAATTGTGGCATTTGTTCTAACATATTGTGTGTATACAATATTTCATGCATCAAGAAAGGCTTACAGTGATTCTAAAGATTCATTTTCAAAAGAATGGACCCCACTATCATGTAATTTATCATGGCCTTGCCCGAGGCCTGAAGAAATATGGGAGGACAGACAATTGTTCTCAAGCTATGCATCAGCAGAACCCTTTCTTGGGCTCTTGGATTCTTTATTTTTAGTCTCTTATGCTATTGGAATGTATTTTACAAGCTTTCTTGCTGACAGAGTGGAACTGCGAAAAGCATTGGCCATAGCAATGTTTTTATCTGGCATACTTTTATTTTGTTTTGGGGTTTTAACTCAAATATTACACTTTTACAATAAAGGATTTTACATATCCTTGTGGATTTTACAGGGAATTATACAATCAGTGGGTTGGCCAACTTGTGTTGCAGTTGTTGGCAATTGGTTTGGTAAATCTGGAAGAGGCCTTGTGTTTGGAATTTGGGCATCATGTGCATCGGTTGGTAATGTTATTGGAAATGTCATCACATCTTCAGTTATTAATTATGGTTATGAATATGCATTTCTTACCATATCTGTTATGATGTTGGGTGGAGGACTGGTCGTGGTGTTCGGCCTTGTGAATTCACCTCTTGAAGTAGGTCTTCCTCCACCGGTTGAGACAGAATCTTTGGATAGAAGAACTCTAGATGATGAAGATTCCCAACCTCTTGAAGATGATTCCAATTCTGAAGACGATATGAATGTACCTACTAATGCAATTTTGGAGACTGTAGATAAAGACAATGCACTTACAAATACCACATTGGAAAATGAAAACACTGAAATTGTAATGTTGTCTAATAATCATCAAAAGGAATCCCAACCATTGTCTTTTCTAAATGCTCTATTCTTACCTGGAGTTATACCTTATTCTCTCAGCTTCGCGTGCTTGAAATTAGTCAACTATGCATTTCTTTTCTGGCTACCGTATTATTTAACCAATCATTTCCAGTGGGATGATTCACTTGCATCTAGTGTCTCCACATGGTATGATGTAGGAGGAATAGCTGGTGGAATTATTGCAGGTGTACTGTCAGATGTTTTCAAAACTCGAAGCTTAGTTTTATTTTTCATGCTTCTTGGTTCACCTTTTGCATTGTGGGGATATAAATCATCGCCAAATGATGTTGTCATTAACAGTATATTGATGTCCATTGTTGGATTCTTAATCAATGGTGTATCAAATATTTTATCTTCTGCAATTGCTGTAGATATCGCAAAACGGGAAGCTGTTGGTGAACACTCTCTAGCAACTGTAACAGGGATTATAGATGGAACTGGAAGCCTTGGTGCAGCAATTGGTCAATACCTTGTAGCCGTTATACAATCAAATTATGGTTGGAATTGGGTTTTCAATTTGTTTATTATTTCCAATGTAACAAGCTTGATATGCCTTTTTCCAATTTTTTATAATGATTTTGTGAAGCATTCTGCTTGTGCCAATCGTTTATTCGAAAGGTTACTCTCATTTCGTTCAAGCTATCGAAGAATTGATGAAAACTAGTGTAGCTTGTATTGCTTTTGTATGTTATGTATTAAAAAGATCTTGGATTTGTGTATAATAATATATACTGTATGTTTATGTAGTGATATATGTGACTTGTAATACTAATAATGTGTCAATAAAAATGTGATTTGATAACCTATAGCCTCTGCGCTCTACCGCATGTATAAGGATCTTGCCATATTTTGGATGTTTTTTTTCTGTAATGTGTTGTTACTATGTATAATGTATGCCTTTTCATGTTGGGGATTATGAGTTGAATATTATGGATTTAATTGCCAAATTAATAAATTGGTCATTTCTATATAGCAAGACTTTGTATCTCGCTTTGATTAATGTTATGTATAAAATAGAGACTACTATGATGACTACTATATTTACTATTCACGGTATATAATAACCCTTTCCCAGAGTCAGATAATTTGTTTGTTTACTTCATTCGTTCAACTCAATTGTGAAACTGATGTTATGATTCCTATTTTGACTGATAGTATTTTTATTTTTCCTCATATTATTAAAGTGCAATTTTTATTTCTTGAAGTCATATTGGTACTCAACATTCATTTCAGTTCTTCAATATTTAAATATTGTATATATAATACTACGATTAATGATTTGTTATCATTGAACCGCTGTAACATGGCAACAGCAAAGTTGTCCTCTTTTCTAATATATAACCCTACTTATGGACCGAAAGAAGGCCAGGTTAGTATTACATGACATGTTTATTATGGTATTTACAGTAATTAATATTTTTAAATATTGTAGTCTAGATTGGGGTTGTGCAACCTGTGGCCCGCAGGTCAAATGCGGCCCGCAAAGAAAAATTGTGTGGCCTGTGAAACGAGTTTTTCATTTAGTTTAATCTGTTTTTTGTGCCTTCAACTATTAGATAGCCTATGTTAAATGAAGGTGCAGTGTGCGGTTTCACTCAGTCATTTGCATCTGGCTGGCCCTCCTGTATTAAAGGTCGCCCACCCCTGTTGTAGATGATTGCCATTCATGCACACCTTAATCCAAATCTGCTTTTCCAGGATTTGAAAGTTTAGGCATTTGATCATTCAGTAATAGTAAATCTCATCAGGTTATATGTTTATGTACAGGTTTAGTGAATTATTCTGTACATGGCGGGAGATAGTAGCACTGTTGAATAAGACAAGCCTAGGCAATGAGCATGTTATATCTTGGCAAATGTGCATATTTACCATCCAACTGAGGGATATCCTAGTCATGTGATTTTATTTGCACAACCAGGCAAACAAAACCAGAATCCATTCTCAGTCTGTTTGTTTATTATCATATTGTATAATGCTTGTGGGAGTGCCCTTTAAAACCAATTGAACATTAGATTTTGCTCAATGGTAAATATCACTGTGAAAATATTTTCCAATGTACCTGTAAGTGCAAACACCTCATGGAGATACAAATATATATATAGCCTACAGTATATCTAGGTTACAAATTTATCATAAGTGAATTAAACTAAGTAGACTAATAATTGCTTCAAACACTAAACGTTGTTCTCATTTTAGGAACATTTGAAAGTTTTGTTCTACTATCCCGAATCAGAACATCCCGATGTAAAAATAAATAAAGTTGGATTATGTGAAGCGCTGATTCAATTTGCTAAAACTTATTCACCAAGCAAACCATGCGAAACTCTTCATACTCAAAAACACAAGCAAGTATTTTATGAAGCGGAGGAGAATTTTTGGTTTGTCATGGTAATAATCTTATTTACATTGTTTCAACTATAAATATATATATTTATAAGTTGTTTTATTTGACATGAAATGCTTCTATGGGAGATGGGATCCAATGCGGCAATATGCCACTTAAAATTTTGCTGTTTTATTTTAATTATTTGGAACACATTTTTTAATGCCATGGGAATGTTTCTGTCTCACTCCTCTGAAATGAATTGAACTACAATCAATTATTACGTTTCATTTCAGCAAACTTGGTTCTTAGTTATCGACACCAATGCATGACCTTCCATGTTCATATATTTTAGAATTGTTCTTTTGTTTATACTTTACATGTAGGCGCTCCAAAAGTGTGTGTACCAATATGGAGGTAACTAATTTTGTTCGCCTATTTTATATCAAGTTGTGTAAAGGGACTGAAACCTATGGGCAGGTGGTTTATTCACTTGGCTCACACAGACAGTCCCTGAACTTGTAATAGAACTAAAATAAGGGAAATTAGAATAAAATTATGGCCTAACCTTAGTCGGGCTGGTACACCTAGCCTACTACAGAAGTACCAACATATATTCCACAAATCTATGATATTATTTTTTTCATGTAGGCCTACTAAGAACTTAACTGTCTATTTAAAGCCAATGTGAATCACTTAAGTTACTACAAACATTTTTAACTGGATAAACAGAGTAAAATATTTGGTTTAGTTGTCTAAAATGAAAAACATTATTTTATGATTCATAATAGTATTTCCCAAAACTAAATAACATGGAGGCACCCCAGGTAATAAGCTTAACTTCCAAGCACATTATTGCTTTTTTGAAAATGTTAAGAAGGATTGGAAATTTGTTTGTTCATGTCGTTATATATTCAAGCAGGGCCATTTAAATGAGATTTTTCAAGTTGCCATTGAATCTTAGGGAGAAGGTGGCCATTTTACGAGACCCAAAATGTGAACTGGTAAAGTAAGTAGAAGGCTTTGTTACTGAATTTGTGCTTTTCTATGGTAAAATTCATATTTATTTTTCGGTACTCCCGTAGTGTGTGTACCAGGTTAGGGTTAGGTCATAATTTTATTCTGATTTTCTCATTTTAGTTCTATTACGAGTTTGGGGACTGTCTGTGTTAGCCAAGTGAATATACCCCTAGTTGATGTTGATACAAGTTGATGTAAAGTAGACGAACAAAATTACTTATCTCCATATTGGTACACACACTTCTGGAGCGTCCATTTATCAATGCCCGTTTTACAATTAACACTTATTTCTTTATTTTGTAGACAGTATCAAACCCATGGAAAGAAACAATGCGAGATGGAAAACCAGTTAGAGAATATTTTGAGGAAAATATTAGGAGTGTTGTTTTGAAATCTGTACTGGAACAAGCGTATTTTATGTTCAAGGTACATTTCTTTGATAGAGCAGTATATATGGTATAGCACAGTATAAGCATATCAAACAAATGAAAAACAAAAATTATGTAAAATATTTATTCAAGCATGATTCATGCTTCACTATATCACTTACTCTATATAATTTACATGAAGACACAAATAATTGATTCCAATGGTAACATTTTTAATCAGCAGGATATAATATGATGCAAAATATTAGGCAGTGTCTATTAGGGCCACAGGAGAGTACATTCTCTCATTGTAACTAGTTATCCTTGATTATCATCTTTTTAGGTTGAATATAAAGTTTTGTCTGTTCTATGTCTTTTGTTATTTTATTTTCCATTTGAAGAAGTATTTACTGTTGTACTTTACTGGTGTTTTTCAGCTTTTTATGGGAACCATAGAAAATATTGTCGCCAATGAGGACATTGAACATTTGAAAAACAAACTTCAAGATTTTTATTTAAAGGTAAGTAAATAAGTGAGTATGGTTGTCTCGAGCATGTGTAAACATCATGTTTCTACATGAACATGATGTCATCACATTTGCTACTTTTCCATAGTATTCATATTCAAGACAATATTAATGTGAATTATTTGTGTTTCAGTATCTTCCAGACATCAATATTCATCACTGTGATATACTCAATGTTCATAATGGTGAGTATTTATATAAATCTTTCTTACCTACTGTTCATGACTTAGATTTATTCTTATGTGTGAGGCTTATATTGTCTTGTATACACAAAACTTGAACTTTAGAATTAGGAACCTGTTATACTGCGATTTAAAGAGGACATTGACATTTTAGGTTCATAAATGTCACTTACACTTCTCATGAATTGAGTTGATGTTATCTCGTAAAAAAAATTTTGGACTGTGAAGATGCAAGTTTTGTTAACATTTACAATCTTTTTCTTCGCACAAAACAACATTTGCACCCTTAATAATAGACCTTAATAATTAGTGTGTGAGTACAGTTGAATGGTACATAAACTAGTTATCTTAATTTTCAGGAATTGATTATTTTCCATTGCAAAAATCAACATATTTGAAGATTCAATCTTTTATCAATTCAATAAAATCTAATTTTCCTTCAATTCAACATGTGATGGCACTCTATGCAGATAAACTGATTTGGTGAGTACAGAAAAAGTTGTATTTATATGATGAATAGTACAGTAGGATTGTAAAAAGGCAAACATGAGTTATTAAAACAGTTGTGCACTCGAAATGAGAGTCTTACTGTTTCTAGAAGTTTGTATCACAAAAAGGCCCCTGTTTAATGGAACAACTAGAAGCAAATCCTTATCAAATTAATGCTTGGATTGCTAGTGAATATACCAATAGGTTTCAGTCCCTTTAAAAAACTTGATGTAAAATAGGCGATCAAAATTAGTTAACCCCTATATTGGCAGACATACGTCTGGAGCGCCCAAATTTCAATACAACAACGCTCTTAATATTTTTTCAATCTTTATTTAAAGCACCATGAGATGTTTCTTTTTTCAAGTATAATTTTGTAAAAAATATTCATTTTCATTTTAAGGAGTGATTTACAGAAGACTGATTCCAGATATTTATATTCATATCTTGTTAACAAACTCCTACCCACGTCATCAGAATTTGAAAATAGTGTTATAAGTAATTATTTAACAAGAGATGGAAGTTATGGAAGGTGAGAAATGAAGTCAATAAATTATGGAGAACCCAGATTTTTTTTATCCTTCTACAATAATGAAGAAAATTTATTTAACACCTAAACGTCTGTTTGTGTATATTTGTACCTGAAAGTTTCAGTAATTTGAGATGCTTTGCACAAAATGTTCTCTCTCGAACAGGGGTGGGCAAGGTTTTGGACCAGGGGCCAAATATTTTGCCCACCTGGATTGGCGGGCCATGCGAGTGTGACGTAAAAAGTTACATTTTATAAACAATATTTACAGTATTACAAAAACAAATGCGGAAAACAATATGTGCCTTGTGCCAAAACTAAATTTGATCGCAAACATCAAAAATTGGTTTTAGTTTGGGTGTGGGAGCGTCAGGGGGGCCCAACGGGCCAGATTTGGCCCACAGGATTTAGTTTGCCCATGTCAGCACTAGACATTTTTCAAATGATCTGTGTTTTGTAGGTCACTCTGTAGTTGATTAAATTTGCATTTTTTCGTAAAATTATCTTAGTTGAAAATTGTCATATTTTATGTTATTTAATTCTAAGCTGTGAAGTTTCACGATTTGTTTATACTGACACACCCTATAACCAAGTGATTGAACCATATGCTTCGTTGCATTGGTGAATTTTTTGAATCTGTCAAAATTGTATTTCAGATACCGGTATGTGAACAATAAAAGAAATACGTTTCTTTCCAAACTAATATCAATTTTGTTCAGGTTTCTGGCTGGTGTTCGTTATTATGAACATTCAACAGATAGGCATACCACTACTGTTTACATCACTTCTACTTCCATGAAAGGGGAAAAATTATTTATGGTTACTTATCAGGTAGTATTGAATTTATTTATTATCAAAAATCTTTAATATTCACTGCCAAGAAATATTTATATAAATAAAGTCAATGCTAGGCTAATATTGTCTTTGTTTAATATGTAGGGCCATTTGGATTTATTGCTTTGTGACTTGAAGGAATTTTGCTGATGTCATCGTTTGATGGTCATCAGATTTTAAGACATATTTTTGTTTTTAGGTTCTTAATATCAGCATGACACTGTTGTTTGAAGGTGTGTATAACTCTTTAAATTAGTATTCTTATAGTGATTTTTGGATACTCCTGAAGTATGTGAACCAAGATGGCGGACACAGGAACGTGGTATGTGTACCAGGTTAGGCCATAATTTTAGTTACAAATACTACGGGAGTCACTTGGCTAGTCCCCGAACTCGTAATAGAACTAAAATGAGGAAAATTGGGATAAAACCATGGCCTAACCCTAGCCTGGTACACATACTATGTTCCGGTGTCCGCCATCTTGGTTCACATACTTCGGGAGTACTGTTTTTTGTTTGCAAAAATTACCCCGTCATTTTTATACTTCCAGGTGAAACTCCACCATCTGTTGATACATTCAGAAAACTAGATTCTTTCATGGGGAAAGCATTGATTGATCTTTCTACTGAAATGGAAGTAGTCCCTATGAAAAATTCTTATGACAGGTGCATAAAAACTTTGAAATTGTGATAATATTCCTTTTCTTAGTCTTTAAACAAAACACTTAGGTCCATACTATTTTGAAATCTTAAAGTTTCTATTTCACCCTTGATTAGATAGATGGAACATGGGGTTTAAACTTGATATCTATGTTCTGTGAGATCAATCTAACTCGGGGGTTTCCCAAACTGGGCTCCGCAATGATATGAAAAGAGTCTAATCGATCTTTTCGGTTAAGCGCTGCGGACCAATATCCATTGCTGATAGAAAAGGCAATAAAAAGTTATATTATATATAGAGTCGGATCTACGAGTTTGCTCGTCAGAAATTACTGCAAGAATTGATAAATTGTGAAGTGAAAAGCAACCTCATAACATTAATGTCGTTTGTGTTGTAAATGAAACATTATCCTTCCTCGTTGGTTAGGCACAGAAATTGATACAGAATATAGGATAGGGGTCACCAAAACTATGATTCACAAAAAGGAGTCCGAGGTTCAAAAAGTTTGGGAAACCCTGATCCAGCTCATTTCCAAATTAATCCATTATATGCGTAAAAGTATTATAATTTATTGTAAGGTCACATGAAAAACAACAAATAATGCAGGCTGTAGAGTCTGACTATTTTACATGTAGAACAGTGGTTCTCAAACGGTAGGGCGTGCCACAAAGGTAGGGGCGTAGACACTTTTTGATGGGCCGTGCAGCTAATTAAAAAAAATAAAAATATTTGTTAGATTTGATCTTGCCTGCCTTATTTTGGATATTTATATATTTTTTATTATATACACGTATTTTCAACCTGTTTTTTGAATAAAACATACTTTCACCTTACTATCTGTTATTTGTAGGTTGTATGCTACTGTATTTATTTTTGAGGTCGGGCGCGAGACTTGACAGGCTTAAAAAGTTTGAGTACCACTGATCTAAAATCATCAACTCAGGGTCGAGGGAAATTTAATAAAGACTTTTTTTGTCTGTTGAAAATGATCCTTCCTGAACTTCTGATTGGAAATATTGACTTGAATTATCACCATTAAAAGTATGAAATTTCGAATCCCGCTTCGATCATATGAAGAACACCAATTGGGGCAAAAGTTATTTACATGAATGTTTCCTTTTTTTTCCAGCAATGACACGGCATATAAATACATCTACTTCAATCAAGAAAGCTTATTAGTTAAATCTTCATGTCATTATCGAGATAATAATGGGTTTATGAAATGTTCAATGTCTAAGGATGTTATGCGGGTTGTTTTGACCATGTGTCAGGAATTTCTCAGGTGAGAATTTGAAATGATGCAATACCACAATTATATTTAGTTGGTGTGATGGCATTTTGTTTAACTTGCGTTAGTGTTAAAACGCTGTAATTGAAAGTGTGCCAAAGATGCAGCTAACGCCACAAGGCATTTGACAAGTTTCAAAATTGTTCAATTTAATCCAATATTCCTCTTACGATTGTTGCAGGCCAGTACAAAAAATTTGCATATATTGCATATACCGGTAAATAAGCTGATATGAATGAGAATATGCAAAGAGAATAAAATGATATAGGGGTCTTGAAACAAAAACAATTGAGAAAGTAATGTACAGGATTTCAACAAATATGAATGATAACTATACATAATCATATATGCAACTGAACTGGTCTTCTTGATGTGACTGATGTATTAGCTATTGACCATATGATATGACAATGAATTCCAGGGGTAAAGTCTTTCTGTCATAGCCCAAGGTATATGTAACACTTCTCTCCTTTTGTCACTTAGTAACAGCACGTAACTGCTTTCTGATGACAGGGTTATTGTTGTTTGTTCTAAGCAAAGGTGTTTAACCCCAGTTCTTTTAGCCGTACACAAGCGTACGATTGCGCTGGAAGGATGGAATCTTCTGTTTGGCATTAAGCCTGTTCAACCTGTGCATCAATCTTCTTACCATTGTGCCACTGGAATATGTTCAAAATGTTTGCAGCATATCAGGTTTCTCCAGCTTGTTGCTAACATTGTGTTTATTTTCTAACTTTTAGTAAGACTTCAGAAGTTGAAGTAATCACTAAAGCAAGCATGGATTACTGGATTGTTGGAAAAAAGACAGAACAACACGAGTGTTATATCGTTGTTAACCGTAAGGATGCTAACTTGATTGATGTGAATGGTACGTAGATTATATTCATTCATACATCGGATTTGGGTTTACAATAAACCAATAGTGTCATAATTCTGCCCAGCTATAATATTATAATGCAAGGATGCCCCGAGAGAAATTTCTTTTAAATTTTTCAACTGTGAAAATGAGAAATCTGAATTGAAACATAAAATAGGTGGAGGAATTCTTATTCATGCATATATTGGTGTGCTAAAGCAGCTCTTATTTGTTTTGTTTTCTTAGATGATGTACGGAAGATCTGTGCTAACAACATCACAAACATATCATTAGCAGAATAATTTATTTTTCTATCAACTAAAGATACTGTGCAATAAATAAATTTTATAACAGGGTATTGTTTCATTGGTGAGATCGAGTCGTTTTCCACCACTCACGACAGTTCTCAAAATCCTTCATTAGGAACGGACTGCCGTTTCCCTTTCCTGGCAGGTATAATCAGAGCTTTACAAGGCTTACACTTAATTTACGAATTCATCGGAAAATTGAGAACCAAACGCACTCACTTTAGAAAACCGTTCTCCCTGCCACACTATCAGTCCTGTACTTCTCTAACGAAAAGGAAATTTGTATTTATGCTGTATTGTGTATTTTCAAATGGAGCACTTCTGTGCTTTTATTGCCATTTTACTTAGTTCTTGCTTGCAATCGAAACACAATCGAAACACTGTATTCCATCAGAAATAAACAAATTAAAAAAAAGCCTGTTGAACTTCTCAATAGCCAGGTTGGAGGCAACACGTATTCCATTGTTTATTGTATGCAAATTACTTAATACATAAGAATACTTTATTTTAGAATATGTTCAAATGTATTCGATTGGCTATCCGCCGTAAATAATATTAGAGCATGTACCAAAAATAATTTTCAAACAGTTAAGACCAGGCATATGGGAGAGTTTGCTAATGCATTTGTTGCAAGCGGTGCCTCAACATAATAATAGCCATGAAGAAATGTAATGCCTAATACAGAAAAACAAGCAGGTCAGTTTTCAAGTTACACCAGCGAGTAACCATCAATTTCTCATATTTGGCGATCTCCTACATTGGATGGAAATAATGATTTGGGATTTTAGATATGTATTATACTCCCAAAGCAGCTCATGAGTCATGATTTGTACCAATCGTAAGATAACCAGGGCAACTGTGTTGCTAAGAACTATGTCAGACCAATGATACCTAATGAGCTCTTATATACACTGAACCAATGTCTGAACTACAATAAGCAAAGATCATTAGATTTTAGTTGAAGTTTGATTCTTTTCCAGAGCATCATGATTGATGATCAAGTCCATTTGCATGTACGAGAGAAGGGAATTGGTGTAATAAAAAAACATCTCTGTGCACAAAACCAACTTATGAAATACTTTTAAGTCAGCGTTTCCCAACAGGGAAGAAATTTTATTTTGTACTTCTGTGTTATTGCAATAACTTATAACTAGCTATTGAGCAATAAACAAAAACTTTATGAATAGTGAGTGGAAAATGTAAAGTTTCAAAATTAGGCAAAGGGTGGAACATTGCCTTAATTAAGCCATTGTTTTCATCAAACACACTGCTTCCTTCCACATGACCTTGAACACTTCATCCACAGCCGATGAAAAAAAACATTCTGTTGGGCGGTATTTAATGTAGCCTTGTTAGTTCTTCAATAACTTTGATAATATCATCTGCCGTTGCATCTTTCATTATTCCACCTTCTTTTATCTGAAAAATCAAACAGATTTCAAATTATGATAAAATAGACAATTTAAATAATATCTAACCCATAACAAAAAATGAGTAACGGAATAGCATAAATTTTGAACATTTCGTCAACATAATATAAATTTGGGTTTTTATGCTCCGGATTCATTGTGAACTTTGGCATCGTTTTTAATGACAGTGATTATTTGGGTCATAAACAGACCTGGGCTCTACAAAATTTGGGTCAATAGCCAGTAAAGAAAAATTTTCAACTGACTAAGTTCCGGGGTGAAATACAGCTTATTACACCATTGGACATTTAAATATTATACATTCAAACGTCAAATATAAATTCCCAATAAATTATCTCCTATGTACATTGAAAAGAAAAATAAGGAAAACAAAAATTCACGTAAGTCGGCCAGCAAACAACAGAAGTTCCAAAAAATGGGAACTGCAAACTTCCGATATTTGATTCAATTACATGACCAACATTCTAAAACCAAGCAGAATGCTTGGCAACCCCTATATCAATTTGGTAAGTCATGACTATATAAAATTCAATTGTGTAGTTAGAGAAAAGGTACATTAGACTCGAAGCCATTTGAAAAATTTGGTAATTAATTATTAAGTATCTGTAATTCAAGGAAAAATTTCACAGTAAATACAAACAGCTGTGGAAAAAAAATCCCTTTAATGGAACCTGTCATATAAAAAAGTATAAATCATACTTGTATGCCTTGCGCGACAGAGTCCATCTTTTCCCTAGGCAGATCCAAGAAATTTTCTATAAGGTCCCCATCTATAAAGCCTTTGTGATCACTTGTAACTCTGTCATTGGTAAATGATCGCCAAAAACTGTGATCAATCTTCCCCACTCCTTTGATTAATTTTTCCAATTTTTTTTGGACTTCACCCAGTAAATGGAATATTTCTGTGTTAAAGGTAGTAATGACGCCTATACTTCCATGTACAGTTCCAAACAATATACTGCCTTGCGTGGGAGTTGAAGTCTCGCCGAGATGTTGCATTACCAGTGTTCCATGTTGAAATACATTTACCATATCCCCAAGATGAAATGAGCCGGTTCCAATTAGTTTTGATGTATCATCATCGTTAGCAGTTGAACTATCTTTTTGACAAACAAAAAGATTGAAGCTGTTGTCAGCACCTATGAAGTTATCATCATCAATGATTTCAACTGCAGTCATCCAGTTTGGCTTATAATCTTTTGCTATTTCATCTAAATTACCTTCGATGGCTTTGTATGAAAGAACGCTCAGTGATCGCATAAGGTCGCCTACAAGTACAAAGTCTCCTTTTGTTTTTAAAAATAGAGCAATGATGTTACCTTGATGACTGCAATCAACAGTTAGATCTTTTTCCTCGGTCCATTGATACACAATGACTGAACCATTAATACTTGCAATAATTTTTTCATTGAAATTTGATAATGTATAAACGGCTCCTCGTACCTCTTTCTCAGAAATTTGAGATAATTTTCCATCGAATACTTGAAATACAAGAATTCGGCCCTGCTTAGGTTCTGGCTCTTCTGGATATACGAAAGCAGTACCAACAACAAAATAAGATTCTGCTCCAATATTGCAAGATATTATGCTGCAAGGCCACTCAAATGGAGCAAACTGATGTGCATGGTGAACCTCGAATGTATGTTGATCAATAATCAACAGGTTACCAATCTCTGTATCATCTCCGTACATGTTGGCGTCCATGCTTGGCTGACGATATTTTGTGCTTGTATCTTTTGTGATACTGTTGGCCTGCAAGCTTGCACATAATCGTGTTGTTGGTTTTGAAGCTTCCAATCCTATAGTATCATAGCGAAGAGTGGTCACACCGAAACACTGGCTCTTTTCCTGGTATGCTATTCTCCTTGGAGATTCATACAATGGCACAGTGCGAATATGCAGTTTCTGGATTTCATCAATTTTTCCAATTAGTAAGACATTATCATTAGCCAGTGCTAAACTGTCAGGATATCCTTCAGAATCTAGAGCACACATGTAATTAACTTCACGTAAATTAACATTAGAAAACACAAGCTTGTGATTGGAACTGTAGATTACCGTTGGCCTGTCGGAACATGAAAATACATTGAGTGACCCGCCAGAAAGAAAAGTGTGAAGCTCTGTAGGCTGGGTACCAAGAGGGACTTTCTTTCGTTCGCCTAAACCACACAAATCCTCATTAATCGTGAAGTAAAACAACATGCCATCTCCGAGAGTGACAAGAAGATAGTCAATTCCTTCAAATTTAACCATCAAAACAGATCTAGGGATAATTTCACCACCTAACATTTGTGAATGTTTTTCTTCTAATCCAGGCATAGCAAGAAGATGAACACTGTTATCATTCCACAAACCAACGGCACATAATTGAGCTTTTGCTGTTTCATCTGTTGGATTCAACACCAGAGGATTGACATTTAAGCAAGCGACTTCTTCTGGCATCACCCTCTCGGAGCGCAGAATCAATTCGCTTGATCCCACTTCTAAATGATAAAGTTGACTCCCAACTGCAACGACAATCTGTGAATAATTACATGTTGCATTGCTAATATTTCCCCTTGGTGGGGACCACTCTGCAACCAACTTTTTCATCTTCCTTGAAATCAATCTAATTCCTTTTTCAGTTATTTGTACAACTTGATCATTCAAGACATTCGAGCATAAAAATGTCTGTTGTTCATCGTCAAAACCACCAAATTCAGATTCCTCTATTTCTTCACCACTGAGACGCAAAATTCTAGAATGGCCGACAAAAGACAAAATCAGTGTGTCAAACTTAGATGAATCAGAGAACAGTCGAAGCGGCCATAGTCCTTTTATACCAGGCAAGTCAATGCTTGCATGCTCCTGGATTCCAATACCATTACGAATGATTCTCAGGGATCCTTCCTTAAATGCCCCAGAACAAGTAACTAGTTGCCCCTGACCTTGTCTCTCCAGATCTACAACACACATGTCGACAATAGGGCCCAAATTTGTATAAGTATCGAGTATTGAAATATAAGAGGATGATGAATCTCCTTCTCCACTTGTTGGAGTCGTTTCAAGACGAATTAGCTGAGAATCTCCAAGCCTTGATCCAATATAAACCACACCATTGTCAAGATAAGAAAGGCATTCGGGTATGTTCACTTCACCCATCAATTCGATATGCAAATCTTTGACGGAAACATTTTCGTCTATTTTCTCTTCAGTCTCAACATGGAGCATAAAAAGTCTTCCAGCCATATCACCAAGAAGATAACGACAGTTGTCCACACGAGCAAAGCAAGATACAATATTTTGCTTGATCATTGGAGGTGCAATTAATTTAGCCATTCCATCGCCGCTATGATACATTATAGATTCCTGCCCCACAACCAGAGCTCCATTTAACGGGGCAGGAACAGGGATAATAATAGAAGCTTCTGTGTCTACATTTTCTTGTTGCCATGACCCAAGTTTCACTTCCTTGTCTCGTATATTGATTTCATAGGTTTTAATATGCCGCCCATGTGTATTGTGGTATATGATAGCCACGGTTGGAACATTGTATCCATGAAGAAATTGGGCATCAATCACACTCAATTCATCCATTCTAACATTGAAAGGGCGCAGTTCTTTGCTGTTTGGATCATAAGGCAAAATTTTAAAGACACCTTCATACAATCGAAGACCAATTATTTTGCATGTCGGATCTATAAATCCAAGTATACCAGTTTCAGGTGGCCGACCTACAGGATCAGTTACCAATCCACTTGCTTTTGTTTTGACTTGACAGCCTTGTTCACCGGCGCAATATTCCAAAATCGACGCATTATATCGTTCAGTTAGTACGAACAATAGATCTTTTGGTTCACCTGGAGGTCTAAACAACTTCAACACAGCAATTCTTCCATAAATATTCATTTCTGTAATTGGACGAAGTCCTTCACTGGTGACTGTATATATTTCCAAACGTGTGCTTTTAGCAATAAGTAAATTCATGTCATCAGGACTTGTGAAGTTACCAGTTATACAAAAGTGAACTGCACTCGGCTTGTGAGCTGTGACGACATAGTTGAACGACATGGCTATTTAGTTTTTTAGTTTAGTACAGTTACTGTATGAAGAAACAACAATAAATACTTCCTATTACATTATCACAGTGGAAAATTTTATCAGATAGATTGTCAAATAGATGAAAAATGAAGTTAATTGAAATTTTCTTCTCCAATCATTATACGTTTGCTAGAGCTCGACCGATATCACTTTTTGAAACCGATACCATTACCAATATTGATATATCGGTCAACTAGTGGCGGATAATTGATTTTAATATAAATCATATTGCGAGCCACAAAATGGGATTTTATGATGTAACTCATATCATACCATGAGTCTGTACATTCATTTTGATATTTATCATCATTGCAGAGAGACTTTTATTTAACTAACTCCAGTTAATACAAATGTTATTCTGTAAATTGTCCTACGACTTCAATATCAGTCCAGCCTTTTCCAGAAAAAGAATGGTTAATCTGACGTTTTTAAATATAACTGTGGGCATATGTTAATAAGGGTATTGGAAAATTATAAATTGATATATATCAAAGTGAATCATGATAATGATAAAATCCTTCGATATTATTGTGATAACGTATGTGCAGTTACATGTGAAATATTTAATAACTAAGTTTCCAGTTACTCTCAATACCTTATTTAGTAAATTACAATGGAATAAGGTTTTTTGTGTAATTCTCAGCAAAATGATAAACAACCATCAATTATAGATAAAACTGTTATCCCAGAAATTCAAACTTGAATTTGTAATAAAATAAGCATGGGTGTCAAAGAGTTATCTTTTAATAACAAACACATAATTTTAAATCTTAACTTTACTGAGTCAAAACATAGGTCAAATCATTTATTATATCATTTATTTCGCCACCAACAATTCGCTTCAGCAATCTTTGGTGATGGATAATTGATACGTCGCCATACAGCCATAATAACACAACGAAGCGTGCCGTGAATACGCGTTTCCCATAATAATAAGTATTATCCCTCGTAAGCACAAATCTTAGAAATAAGCACGATATGGTAACCCAGACTTGCCCAAGTATTACCGATATATATCGGCGGTTTATTACTGATATGATATATCGGCAAACACGGAATAACGGGCCGATATATCGGTCGAGCTCTAATGTCTGCTGTATTTTACAATATTTGGCAGTAGAACCTTATTTCACCCGGGCCTGATATATATACTTTATATTAATAAATCTACTAAATCTCTAGATTTGAATATAGAAGTGACAATAGACGATGTGACGACAATCCAATAATGTGTTTTTGTCTTGTCAACATGCAACTATAAGCTACTGTAATCTTGCCTTTATTCGTCTCAGAAACGAAAGTATTGTATCAGCAAGTAATGCACTCCGCTTCGCTATTAGTTTGATCTTTTCTGAAGCATGGATACTTCTGCTTTAGTTCTTGGGTGTAAAAACGTTCTTGGGTAAAAAAGGTTTTTACTGAGTCCACTGACGTAACTTTCTGCCAAAATCGAAACTTCACCGAATTGCTAAATACAAATGAAATGACGTAAAAATAATTGCAGAATAACACAATTTTTCGCGATGAACGACTATGCAAAACAGGTATGCATTTATCCTAGGGCAGTGCTTCTTATCTCTTTTGCGGGTCTGCCGAACCTCTCCGCTGTTGTGCAAGCTCCTGTCGAAGCCCATTCAACGGTTGAAACCAGGATCGCAATCAGAACTTCACAGAACGGTAGCTAATTTTCTGCAAGGTTCGCGTCCAAAACCTCCAACTGCATCCGGAGCGTTGTTTTTCACAGATTTTTGCAGAAATCGACATAGCCTACATTATGAACTAGTGCCATTTTAATACGAGTTTTAATGAAACGTACTGAATTCAAGACTGCAAGATGTAACGGTCATTGACATGACCAGTAAAACATAGGGTGGCTTACCCACTTTGCGGCCAAGACCTATTTGCGACCATCAACTTCAACGATTAAATTAATGCCGAAAAAATTAATGAACAGAGATGATATTTCTCGCGCGTTATCGTCCACTTATCCCTCGTAGCTCTGCGAAATTACACTAAAATGCGGCCACAAACAAAAAAGTTACGACCGAAAACCCGACCGATGAAAATAAACGGACCATTTTTCCATGTCGCCAAATACCCATTGTCCCTTTGAAAAAGCTTATATAAGAGATGAAAAGATGAAACTTGGCAGGTGGGTAGAGTTCTGTTTCTTTTAACCATCTTTAAAGTTTCGCATTTCTACATTTAAAGGAGGGGGAGTAGGGGGACGCATTTCCAATACGTCGATAATAGCATTGTCGACCAATTTGCGACCACCGTGTTTTTGTTTGTTTGATTGCTGTAATGCGGTGCTTTGTTTAAAATTTGACGAGTTTTGTTCGAAATAACTTTGTTCTTAAACTATAGGACAGTCAGAAATGCAATTAGAAGCTAATTTTTTTCACGCATGGCTGCGTATGCCCTAGTCTCGACGCAGCAGAAATGATGTTCGAGGCTTGAAATCCGTGGTCGCACACTGGTCGTTCGGTCGCAAATAGGTCTTCTGAGTGTCGTACTTTGTTGGTTTGTATAGCTTTAACCCCTGGTCGTAGAAAGTTAATTCGAGGTTCAGCGTGTAAAAGAAATGCCCATGCACCTACGGTAAAAAAATTAACAGGTTAGAAATATTGGTTTTTGTTTTATAGCGGTTTGAATGAAATCGTCCGCAGACTGGCTACACCACCCTACTGCCCTATATCTGCGCGTGGCTACGCCCAGCAAAGCCATTCCACGAGTCGTTTAAATGCGTAAGATTGTATATCTTCGATGAACTATCGTAATTTTGATAATTTTTTCTAATTCTAGCCCCAGGGGTTCGATCGAACCCAGGTTAAAAACACTGACCTAAAGGTATCTCGTATCATATGCTATCTCAACACAATGAATTGTGTGTCATTTATGTGTAATGATAATTACAAGTTTCTAGTCTACTTACTTTAAAATTTTCTTAACACATCAAAAAGTCTGCAAGTCACCAATACAGCAATATGACAAGTTAAGTTCAGAGTCATCCGAACAGCAGTGAAGCTTTAAAATCAATAAATACAGAAATATGAGTCATATTCTGCATGCAGTATTGGATAGGACTTATCCCTGGAAAGAGGAGGGGAAAGTCGATAAGACAGCTTAATCATATGGCGAACCACGGCTTCTCGTCAGGTTACCAGTCCAGGTCGGGTATGGGATTAGTTAGCCAGGTATTTGTTTTCGGAAGCATGGACTTGATGGTGGACTGGTGGAGGAAGCCGTAAACAACCAGCGGTTACGTGAAACACCCTACAGCCCTACGGCGGCGAGGAGTCCAGCAATCCTCTCACACATGATCATCCCCGAATGGGATTCTAACCTCCGATCCCACGAAGGGTAATCAGAGATGCAGTGGCGAGCGTATTCCTAACGCTTAGCACTGATGCGCCACACCGCCATACACTTCTCCCAGTCTGGATTTCATGGCCTTTTCGAACGAGAAATCGGGCGTGCAATCAGAAATTCCCGCGTGCAAATAAGAATTTCTGGCGTGCAATTATAGCTCACGGCGTGCAAAACAACTGCGCCCGCTAAACTGATTTCGAACTAAGATACCTCTCAATACATCCGCGTAAAAACAAGTCGGATCATAGCAAAAATGGACGTTTGACCTTTGACCCCCAAAACATCATTTCTATATTTTGTCACTAATTTTGAGAGTGTTTGTGCGACTTTAGATACCGGTACTGTTCAGTACATCCGTGTAAAATTATTGTATTAAAAATACGCTGAATCAGAGCCATAACTGGCCAGCGTCGGTGAGGAGGCGATTTTTCTCACGGGATTCCTATCATTCAACACGATATGGTGATTTTTGCTTCGCATTTTTCGATCAGGCCAAATCTTGCAAGCAAGTATTAGTCGACAATTGTAAAGTTATAATTTTTTGGCATTTTTATATTACTAGATTATTGATTTAAAAACTATTTAAACCGATTTACATTGGTGAGCAATTGCAAATTTTCGGCGTGCAAAATTGAATTCGCTCGCGTGCATTTTTGTGGAGCGCTAGCGCCCTCGGGCGTGCATCTGCCATGGAATCCAGTCTGGCACTTCTCTAGCATGTGATATCTACAAAATCCCACATTCAGACATTACGGTAACAGATTAATGCAAAATGGATTTTTCTGTTTGCAGTATTACTAATTACGTGGCGGTGTGTCGCATGTAGTTACAGTTTCCTCCACAATCTGACAATCAAGTCTATGCATGTGAAAACAGAATACTGGAATACCGTAATTTTCTAATTGTATACGGTACGGTACCCGACCGACATGGACAGGTAAACGGACGAGTGGTCGTTGTTAAGTTGTCTCAGCGGCAACCCTCCCCTACGCGATGAACATGTGTAAATTCTAGGATAGGATTTACATATTTATCACGGGGAGAGGAAAGTCGATAAGACGGCTTCAACCATATGGCGAAAACCGCGGCGTCTTTTGCCATGGTTTTATGGCGCTATTAATTAATCAGTATTAACGGTATATTCACAGAGTCATGTACCAGATTTTAGTTTATCATGCGGAATTACCGTATACCGGTATCTATTTAAACCTGAATCCTAACCTCAAATCCATCAAAACTGTATTCAGAGGAAAAATGTTCCAACGGTACCCAATACTTGCACGGATCACGTGACTTTGTTTACGCTGCCACTTTGGACGGCAAAAAAAAAACGTCCAGACTCCAGCATTTCGTTGGTGGTGGGCAATGACATTAAACAACATGATAGGCAACTCTGACGTCACTCCATAAGACTACAGGCGAAACATTATATTTCATGATACGCACCAATGCACATATTTCTCGTCGCCTTTCGCGTCCGTTTTCCGCTCGCTTTTGCTACTCGGCGTCTTTTTTACGTGTAGTACCTGTCTTTTTGCGCCTGTAACGAAACAAAATAATCTCTATATCTAAGAAGTTTTGCTTACTTGAAAAGTTGAAATAACAGGCAAGCTGTAAAGAGCAATTCTG